AGGTCAGAAAGGCGCTCGGCGACTTGTTCAAGTCCCAGCCTCCGTCGTTCTGGAAGGATGGAATCGACAAGCTGCCTGAGCGCTGGCGTCGAGTAGTGAATGGTGATGGTGCATACCTCTAATCTCCAGGCTGGTTCGTTTTTGAGATATTTACAAAAAAGTCGTGTATAAGAACTTATGCGACAACCTAATACAATCATAAACAACAAAAAGAACCGCACGGTACAAATATAAGTGATACAGGAAAGGTATTTCCAGGTGATTCTCAGTTAAAGGCTCCTGGAGCGAAAGCTCCTCGAAATGCCTTGAACTGCATCTGCAGTACAGATGCAAACAGTGATCGATAACATCGTGGTAATACACACATCACTCGGACACAGTGAATATAACAAAAATCGTTCAGAACAGTACATAAATGATGTCATAAACAATAGCAATAGTAACACAAAAACTTTCTCATTTGTATAGTATAATAAAGATATATGACGATTCTTCATTCGTCTTGCTTCTTGCTTCGTCCGCGGAGAGCGCACCTTTACATTTAGGCGATAGTGAAGAAGAATGGATGGTGATTTGGTGGAGGGCAGTCAACCCGGGCGCGCCGCCGAAGAGTATGCAGTCAGTAGGGCGCGTCGCATCTCTGCTCTCGCTAAAGAGTTGGTCCCCTCTTGGATCGATTGTGGGCGGATTAAAAAGCCACCGGTTTCGTTAACAGATGGTGAGATCCTTTCGCACCATTATTCGGGAGAAATGCATTGGTGTATTCAGAGGTCTATCTCCCTCCGTTCCCTCATGCCGGTTATCAGTTCTGCATCGTATGCGGTCGACACGCGAGGTTTCGCCTGCGGGCCCACATCACGAACACCCACAAGGAGTTCAGTGGGGATGACCTCGAGGTGGAGTTGTAATGCTGTTGCGCACAACCTCAAGAGAGCAATCTGCATTGGTGTTCAGGTGGCCATACAGACGAGTCGTGGCATCGTGGAGCGGATGAAAAAGACAAAAGTGGACTTCAGTCTCGTGCCGGAACCAATCACGGAACGGGAATGGGACGCCTACAAAGCGGTTGCGAAGCAATTGAAGGAGGGGGGCATCCCAATCTACATGGTTTGTTCTGTATTTTTGTCAGTGAAGCTCACGCGAGAAGATAATGCGGTGTTATAGCCATACGAACGCGGAGCAGTGGTTCGCGTCAATCTGAATCAATCTGAATCGTCACAAAAAGAGTGAGTTATGTTCTCGGTTATGGCATTCACTTGATGAAGTCAGTGAAGATGAGTGATTATGTTAAGGGGTCTTCTTGCAAAAACGTTTAGAAAAAGCACGGGATTGCCTACTTCGCGTGGCCAGGGAGATGATGGGGGTGCTATGCCATTCAGAGAGGATAGCCAGCACACTAGCAGAGGTATTCTTTTTGTTGATAGGTATGGCAACTACACTTACATTGCTAGTTTAGGTGGAGAAGGAAGACATTCAGGATATGAAGGACCTGTGCACACATTTGATGTCGATGACGTCATCGAAGATGACGAGAAAATGGAGTAAATGGTGTGAGTGAAGAGACCAGATAGGTTACTTGTTGAAGACTGGGAAACAAATATACCTTTATTTAGGGTCCGATTTTCGAGGTTCCGAAGAAAGAAAATTGAGATTTTCATATAATGATTTTATTCGATGAATTCAGATAAAGCTGTTCATATGTTTTTTGCATTGGAAATTCTTTGTATCAGGGATATTAGTCCCATAATATTTGTTTGTTTTTATTTCTCCTTCTATGGACCTAGTGACTGAAGTGATGGCTGGAATGCACAGTGATTTACTACTGGTAATTTATTTTTTTTTCAGATTCCACGGTTCCCTTCAGTATCTAAGTTACGGTGACAGGTTCGTCCTGCTTTTTTCTTCTTTTTTGTTTTTTTTTCTTTACTAGTTTTGGTAGATTCCTGACTGTTATTTGATTTTTTGAGTTTCTTTTCTTTTTGGTTTCCTTTTTGATGTGATTGATTTGTGATTTGATGACGATTCGATTTTCTTTTTGATCATTCTTGTTTCATGATCGCCGTGAGAGGGGGGGGGGTCGTATTTGCTTGTTGTTGAAAGAGGTGCGGCGTCGTATCTTGAAAGATGGGAGAACTTTGTTTGGTTTAGTATTTTTTGCAATTTTTTCGGTTTTAAGTGTGCTATATCCCTCGACAGTTCGATCGTGTCAAGGAAGGGAACTAGGGGGCGTGTGCAGCCTTTTTCAAGGGGTCTCCCAGAATCGCTGGGAAAATATCGATCAGTAGATCATTAGGCAGCTGTTGATTTTTGTTCTTTTCAGTCCTTTTTGATTTTCTTTCTTTTCCATCGTTTCTTTTTGCAGTTATGTACATGCAATGGATCTCTCTATAAACACACATAAACAGAGGTACATCAGATAACAATGTGGCCAAACGTTGTCAAGCTTAATACAGATATTAGGTTGTTGCATAAGTTGTTATACACGTGTTTGATCTATTTCTATTTCGTTCGCATGGAGGTTGGTATTACGTCATCATGTGTGCATGACGTGTACATTATACTCTTTCATTACACTAGCTATCACTCACCGAGCTTGCATTTGCAGTACACAATGTCGCACAATTTGCACTGTGACAAAACGTACCTGCGCCACTGTTTGGTTTTGCTCCACGATTTCGGCTGGAATGCAAAGGAAGCCCATACCAAGCTGGTGGATACATACGGTGAGGACGTCATCTCTTACATGACATGCAAGAATTGGTTCGCCAAATTCAAGAAAGGAGACTTTTCTCTCGAAGATGCTCCGAGGTCGGGTCGGCCGATGGAGTTGGATTTGGAAGTACTACGTTCCACCGTGGAGGACCCGTACCTCACCACCAGAGAAATGGCGACCATGCTTAGCTATGATCATTCGACGGTTGCACGTGGACTAGAAAAGCTCGGCAAGGTAGCAAAGCTTGGTCGATGGGTCCCACATGAACTGTCCGCTTATGACCTCTCGAGGAGGGTGACCACCTGCACTTCTCTCCTCACTTTCCAAAAGAGGCTTCACTTCTTAACGCTGTGAGGAAGCGGCAGTGGGTCAACAAAGGAGAACAGCCAGAAGCCACCCCAAAGGCCGACCTTCACCCCAAAAAGGTTCTCCTGTCCTGTTGGTGGTCCAGAAGAGGCATGGAGTACTGGGAGCTGCTGGAGAAGGGACAGACGATTGACGCTTCCACATACGTGACCCAGCTGCGGAAATTGAAAGATCACGTCGACCGTACTCGTGGAAGGAATGCGGAAATCTACTTCCACCATGACAACGCCCGACCTCACACTGCAAAGGCGACCCAGGCCGAGCTGGAGAAGTACGGATGGCTGATGGTCGCCCACCCTCCCTACAGCCCTGACCTCGCTCCTTCTGACTACTGGCTGTTCAGCCACCTGCAGCGCTATCTGGACGGAAAAAAGTTCGAAACAAAGGATCAGGTCAGAAAGGCGCTCGACGACTTCTTCAAGTCCCAGCCTCCGTCGTTCTGGAAGGATGGAATCGACAAGCTGCCTGAGCGCTGGCGTCGAGTAGTGAATGGTGATGGTGCATACCTCTAATCTCCAGGCTGGTTCATTTTTGAGATATTTACAAAAAAATCGTGTATAAGAACTTATGCGACAACCTAATACAATCATAAACAACAAAAAGAACCGCACGGTACAAATATAAGTGATACAGGAAAGGTATTTCCAGGCTCCTGGAGCGAAAGCTCCTCGAAATGCCTTGAACTGCATCTACTGAACAGATGCACAAACAGTGATCGATAACATCGTGGTAATACACACATCACTCGGACACAGTGACAATAACAAAAATCGTTCAGAACAGTACATAAATGATGTCATAAACAATAGCAATAGTAACACAAAAACTTTCTCATTTGTATAGTATAATAAAGATATATGACGATTCTTCATTCGTCTTGCTTCTTGCTTCGTCCGCGGAGAGCGCACCTTTACATTTAGGCGATAGTGAAGAAGAATGGATGGTGGTTTGGTGGAGGGCAGTCAACCCGGGCGCGCCGCCGAAGAGTATGCAGTCAAAAGGGCGCGTCGCATCTCTGCTCTCGCTAAAGAGTTGGTCCCCTCTTGGATCGATTGTGGGCGGATTAAAAAGCCACCGGTTTCGTTAACAGATGGTGAGATTCTTTCGCACCATTATTCGGGAGAAATGCATTGGTGTATTCAGAGGTCTATCTCCCTCCGCGCCCTCATGCCGGCTATCAGTTCTGCATCGTATGCGGTCGACACGCGAGGTTTCGCCTGCGGGCCCACATCACGAACACCCACAAGGAGTTCAGTGGGGATGACCTCGAGGTGGAGTTGTAATGCTGTTGCGCACAACCTCAAGACAGCAATCTGCATTGGTGTTCAGGTGGCCATACAGACGAGTCGTGGCATCGTGGAGCGGATGAAAAAGACAAAAGTGGACTTCAGTCTCGTGCCGGAACCAATCACGGACCGGGAATGGGACGCCTACAAAGCGGTTGCGAAGCAATTGAAGGAGGGGGGCATCCCAATCTACATGGTTTGTTCTGTATTTTTGTCAGTGAAGCTCACGCGAGAAGATAATGCGGTGTTATAGCCATACGAACGCGAAGCAGTGGTTCGCCAACGCTTCCTTGAACAGTATCCGCAAATGCAACATCGGGAGGAGGCACAAATGGGCGAAGATGTTGAGACTATCCTTGCCAATCAGCTAGCCGCTACTCCAGTTCAGCAGGTTCTGAAACTACTTTGTACTACATGCCTCCTTATTTACGTGACCTTTCTACCTGTAGCATATCCCGCAAACGTTCCGTGGACCGTTCATCAGTCGGGAAAACGAGTACAGGATCGCCTACGACAAACACTACACGGGTGAACCTGTTTAATATACGTGTCGATAACTTCTCGTGTAATGGGGATGTTTCTGTTTAGGTGGACAGAACATACATCCTCACTTCCTTTCGAAGCACTACAAGGAACTGATGTTCTCCTACTACGATGACGACTTTGCGCGAGACTACTACGTTCAAGATTACACCATAACGGCTGATACATGTATGTTTTTTGGTACGACTAATGTTGTAGAGGAGGCACCCCTTACTTTATTCAGTTTGGATGAGGCGCGCGGATCTGTCAACGAAGTTGTGGAGAAAATTGCGCTGGGAGGTCCATCCTCTACTGGTTGCCTTTCGGAAATCTCTGCAAACGTTTGTGGTGAGCGTTCAACTTAGAAATTAGTTTCTTGTCGCGTAATCCAAAATGTTCACACTTGACAGCATGTCGAGAGAAAGCGTCCCTTCGGTGGACCCGTTGAAAGGAGGCGAGCATTACGGGCAATACGTGGAGCGCTATATGCTAGTTGCCATGGGGGACGTCAGCGGTGAGCGGCTACTATTTGCAGTAACTGGATCTGAAGGGAATCACCATGAATGTTCAGATGTGGAAGATCGTAACAATAGATGATGCCATATTCTCTGAACGAATGCTCCCGGATTTTCTGGAAATGACGCAAAAAGTGGGAGTGACAGTCGGCGTCAGGATAAACTTTGTCAAGGCCCTCATCGCATTCTATAAATTCCTGAAGAGGCATATCGATGCAAGTTGGTTTAGTTCTCTGGATTATTTCCCAAGGTTTAAGTGTTGCAAAGTATGCATTGATTAGATGGTGGTCAGCGAAGAATGGAACTCATCACAAGAGCGATCGAAAACTCGAAGGACTATCTGGCTCAGCTCAAGAGCGAGATGAGGTCTCGCGACTCGTACCAAGGACTGATTACCCCAGGGAAGCCGCGGAAGGTCCATCTTATTTGCACACAACATTCTGCACAAAACTTTCACAGCTAACCACACTGCCTTCTTCAGGAATTCCCAAAATATGGAGTTATGCGAGTCATTCTGGATCACTCAGTTATTGACAAAACCGTGGAAGAAGTAATGAAAAGATTCGCAAGGGACCCCAAATCGCTAATTTGTGCAGAATACAATTTCGTCATGAGGTATGCTACAAAGCTGTCCCTAGTTCCTACGTAAATACAGTAATTGTATTTCAGTGCACTCATTGCGTATATAATGCACTGTAATGCGAACTAGGAACGAAGTTGTCTATAAGACAATTGTTGGCAGTGTCGTCGAAAAACCCGATGAATCGCTGGGATTAATCAAGTGCACAGAAAGTACTGCGGATGGTTCTGAAATCTACTGGGTAGAAGTTTTTTGATGATTCGACCTTATGGCGCACCTTTTTTGACATCAAATTTCAGGTTGGCCGCTATCCCAATCCAAAGCAGCGCTCAAGGACGGGTGAGCGGACCGCATGTAAAAGCGGTCTCTTCGTTCTGGACACGAAATCACACCGATGGCTGAAACACTACAAAACACTGCGCGCATTGTAGGTGCAAGGTCTAGGGGAGAAAATGCATAAAATGTTATCATTTCAGCGTAACCGAAGGGCGTGGGCTTGGTGACATGAGTGAGGAAAAAGACCCCTTCTTCTTGGGATGGAGCCGGCAGACCTGTCTCATACGCCTATGTCCGTCTCCCTACTCAAACGTTTCATGCTGCTGATCAACTGTGAAGGAATAGGGATCACTTGTAATGCAGTGAGTTGCAGTTGTACCCTCTTCGGAGGCAGTCAAGGATCTCGTGTAATGTATTGTAGACGAGGCATGCATCGAGCACATCACAGTACCAGTCGTATCTCGATCAAGACAAAGGCCAACATAGAGGGGAACCTGCTGACAAGGACGTCTCCAAACTGTTAGGTTAATGTCACTCGTTTTCCTCTTCGATTCCGGCTCTTGAGAATGGTGTAATTATTTAGGGCACTCACAGCGTACTCAGCTTCAGTACTATGTGGACGAATTTGCAAAACCTGCGGTGAAGGCATATCGATATTTGCGGATGTTGGCAGATAGAGAGAAAATCCTGTTCAGCGATGAAGTGGCGGCGGCCAAGAGACGTGTCAAGTTTGAAGGGTATGATTTCTGCGTTCGAGTTTCGAATGCTCCGCCTTGGATCATTTCTATAGGTTCGACACCGTCGCGGAATCATTACCTGAACCGGACTCAGACGAAGAATCTGCTGCAAGCGAACTAGACACATCAGAAGATGAGGAGGGAGTACTTAAGGGCGATGAATTATACGTCCCTTCAAAACCGACTGGTATCTTCACAATATATAAAAGTATAATATGTTCTTACTTGTACAGCATTGATTCAGATAATTCTGGGCAGAAGGCCATGCGGAAATCGCCTAGAAAAGAGCCAAAACTTTCACCTTCACGTCAAGGTATTGGGTAAAGTTATTGTTATACAATGCGGAAACATCGCCTAGAAAAGAGCCAAAACTTTCACCTTCACGTCAAGGTATTGGGTAAAGTTATTGTTATACAATGCATGAAACATCTCCAGAAAAAAATATTGTTTTAGTAGAGGTTTCGGACGAAAGCTCTAGCGAGGAGTCAGCAACGGAAAGGCGTCGCAAGGTCGCTGTAAAAATGAGTAAGTGAAAACAGGGTTATCCAGGAGGCCTTTCCACTCGACTAATCTGTTCAGATGAGACCGAACAGATGGAACAACACTTGAAAAAAACGGGCAGTGCAACGGAGCAGTCGAAGCCGCCACGAAGGGTTCCGCTTTTTAAGCCCCGAGTTGTCAGACCGAAAAGCGACTCGTTACCGACTACATCATCATCATCCGCCGCTTCGCCAGAACACGGTAAACATTCCGAGTAGATTGAACAATCACCTGTAGTAAATACATCTTCAGGAGATCCCTACCAGTTCACTGCACACGACGACACCTTCGAAACCGTCTGCGATCTTTCTGGACTAGTGTTGGAAGTTTCATGCAAAGAAGGTAAATATGGGCATAGGCAGCATTGATGAGTATCTTAACTTTGAACTGCAGGCAGTGATAAAGCGTCAGGAAGTCGGCAATGGCAACTCGTACCATTGGAATACACCCAACCGAGGCTGGTTTGTCGAAAACGTCACATGGCCATGCGTTATGCAAAGTCGACGGGGCAGTCTACATCGCTCACCGCTGAACTTCTCCTGCTGTGGATGCAGTCGACGGTGAACCGCTGTCTTCGGTTCGACACTGATCACACGATGAGCAGTTTCGATGCGTTCGCAAGAAGCCGTCGCATTTTCTGCCCCCAAAACACAGACGTAAGTTTAAAGCGCAGCGATTTCAAAGTCTAAGTGGTTTATTTAAGATGTTGTACCCATATTCGCGTGTCATCCCGCACACTGGTAGTAATCAGCTGTGTCACCTACTTTGGGCAGCTGAGGACGCTGCATATCGTAGGAAGGGTACAGTAGTGCTTGTGTTCAAAGCGGCCGATGATCAACGTTCCACCGTCGTACTTCTTGGCGAGTTGGCACCACCGTCAACGATGTACAATTCGTGTGTCGGCTACATAGATGGGAATTGCTATGCGGTAGGATTAGAGAAGATCACAGGAGAAAATGCGATATCAGTAATGTCTGTTTTAGGTTAAAGAATGCCCGTCCGACAGCGTTGAACCGACTCTCAACGAAGAGTTTGGGAACGCAGAACTGCTACAGTTTAGGACCAGGAATGAAGACATGTGGTTAGATCTGATTCATAGAACTGTTGTCGAGTTAAACTATGTTCTGGACGTGATGCGTCGCTATCACTCAACCTCAGGTACTTCATTTTTTTCTACTCGTTAGACTATTTCGAAGATTTCGTTTTCTTCAGAAGCCACGATTTTCTAGAAGCGAATCTCCCTAGTCAATGTGATTAGTTTAAAGGTTTGTTATACCTACCTACCATCGCTGCAATCCTTAGACTATTTCAATGGTTTCAGATTCTTTCTGAGATGCCATGACTCTTTATTATCGAATCTTACAATTTCATGTGAAAGGTTCGTTTTGCTTTTTACAACATCACTGTCATCATTCGACTATTTTAAATGACATTAGAGTTTCAGATGTCACGGAACTGCTCTTCTTACTGTGATAGATTTAGAAGCCTCAGTCAGGGCACATCCTGTGCTGCGAGGGAAGGGAGGGGGGGGGTCGTTTTCGCTTGTCTTTGGTAGGGGAAAGTCGCCTGTTTGAATTACGCCTTATAAAGAAGAGTTTTCACCTTTTTTGCGGTTTCCTCCGACTCACTGGGGCTATATGCCCCCGGCTGCCTCCCCGTTTGAAGGCAAAAGGTGGGCAAAGAGGAAAATTTGGGGACAATTCTGCAAATTCCCGAAAGTTTACCCCAGCGGCAGGTCGTGCCTGGACTCAGTGCTTGTCTTGTGTATGGGTAATTATTGATTTTTGAATTGAATTGTTTGAAATATCGGTAATTGAAAAAAAAGCTGGAATGAACACTTACTTACTCCGCTATGATCTCCAAATAAATCGCTTGACTGTTGAGTGTATATGTGTTGCATAAACAACGAAGCAATATTATATTCGTGATCACGACTCTCGATAACTCCCCACCCCTCCCCCCCCCCCAAACCGCCCCGCCCGCCACATACATATTGATGTGCCGGCCCGGCCTGTTCCGGCTTGAGCCGGCACGGCCGGCTCTGGTGAGTCATCAGAGCGATCTTTCCAAAAGCCGGCACGGCCGGCTCTGATGAGTCATCAGAGCGATCTTTCCAAGGGAGGGTAGAGATACTTCACGCTTTTCGGGCGAGTTCGCTGTCCGTTACGCCACCAGGGCCGCTCTAGCCCTCTCAGTTCGACGGCTTTTATGCCGTAGCCTTACAGCGGTCACACGCCTAGTTGGTGCGATCAACTTTTGCTCATAACTTTTGTGATAAGTCGAAAAGCACACCGTGCCAGCAACGGCACGTATCATAATAAAACATGTATCCATACCGTTAACAAGTACAGTGACTACTTTAAGTGGCTCCTCCTTTGATACAATAACCCCAAATTCAGAGACAAGCTGTCTGTATTGCAATCAGGGACTAACACCCGCTCATATAGATCATAAATGTGAGTCAAATTGAACTTCTATTTTTCTGGATTTCTGGCACCATGTTACTAAAAGGAAAGATGAGGGGTAAGCACAGCAAGGGTCACCGATGAATAGGCTCCGCCCTCTCACGCGAAGAGCGTATAAAAGGCGATAGGCGCCGGTTCGCTTACCGTTCGCTCCGAACACTCAGCATCAGCATCAATGGTTCGTACCAAGCAAACCGCTCGTAAATCTACTGGTGGCAAGGCCCCACGAAAGCAGTCGGCTATCAAGGCTGC